TTTGCCCCCCCCCCCCCCCCCACCTCACATTATGCCTCATAGGCACCTGCAGAGGGGAAGGGGGGGGGGTTAGGTTAAAGGAGAACTATGGGGTCAGGGCTTTTCCCCATAGTTTCTTCTAAGGGTAACGGGAGAATACAAACTAGCAGAGGCAAGCAGAGCTCAATGTACAGGGGGAGGCCGTCGCTTGTTTGGTACAAGTGATATCGGCAATGTAACTGAGATCATTTGTATGCAGCCTGCAGGTCTACCATTCTCCATTGGGGTTTGGCGGGTAGAGGAGCACATTGAGGAACCTGGCCTTGGGGCAGCAGAGAGTAAATCTGGCCCTGGCTACAGGCATAAGTGAGAAATTGTTTTAAAAGCCATTTACTGCTTGTTAAGAATATGTAGATCCACCGCCTGGATTATGGATAATGAGAAAGTTCTGGGCATCACAAAGACTACGGTTCTTCTTCATTGATCTGTTTATGTATCAGTTTGGCTCTGTCTACCTATTATATTTCTGTACTTAGCAAAAGTTGGGAGCCTTTTGATTAATTTGTTCACCTTTGCAGGGCATTGAGGAACCTGGCCTTGGGGCAGCAGAGAGAGTCAATCCGGCCCTGCAAGCAGCTGGACCCTGCACAGTGCACTGGCACATTCACCACATGTGGCCGCCTCTGGAGCGTGTAGACATCCAGAGGAAGTTCCATCAGCGTCTACAGGATATGCTCAGTGCAGGGAGATGAAACATGACCAAAGAATAAAACTATTTTTGTAACAAAATAATAAAAAAAATCCAATTCTGTTTTATTTACAATGACAGGAGAGTCTGCGCGGAACAGAATGGTGAGGTCAGTGAGTACATACCAAGCCAGGACCCGCTAACTCTGTCTGTACATACAAATCAGAGACATTTCTCAGCTGATCACAGGTATGGTGGGGAACAGTCAGAGTTCCACTTCTTGCTGGATTTATACTGCAGAGAAATGTCTCTGTTTGATAATCCTCAGACACGCAGGATGTCAGTGTTTGGATGAATCGTCACATGGCGTCACATGGCGTCGCCTCAAAGGAAAGAAGAACATGCTAAAAATAGAGGAGACAACAAGGACAACAATAGACAGGGAGTGCGACACGGAGTGACAGGAGCCTTGGCGGGTGCAGAGATGCTCAAGGAGGATGTCAGGTCTCTGTGATTCTAATACATCATATAATTAAAGGGAAAGAACCCGTCATCAGCTGTATGAGAGAGGAGAGGAGAGAGAAGAGACGTGAGAAGGGAAGAGAAGAGTAATAAGAAGGGAGAAGAGAAGAGAAGGGAAAGGAAGAGTAATAAGAAGGGAGAAGAGAAGAGAAGGGAAGAGTAATAAGAAGGGAGAAGAGAAGAGAAGGGAAGAGTAATAAGAAGGGAGAAGAGAAGGGAAGGGAAGAGTAATAAGAAGGGAGAAGAGAAGGGAAGGGAAGAGTAATAAGAAGGGAGAAGAGAAGGGAAGGGAAGAGTAATAAGAAGGGAGAAGAGAAGGGAAGAGAAGAGTAATAAGAAGGGAGGGGGGAAGGCAAGAGAAAGGAGAGGGATGAAGGGAAGAGTGATTAGCAAGGAGAAGAAACAATAAAAGAGAAGAGACATGAGAAGAGAAGGGAAAGGAAGAGTAATGAGAAGGGAGAAGAGAAGGGAGGGGAATGGAGGGAAAGGAAGGGAGGGGAAGGAAAAAGAAGAGTAATTAAAAGAGAAGAATTAGAAGGGAAATGAGAAGAGAAGGAGGGAAGAGTAGAGACGAGAAGGGAAGGGAAGATAAATAAAAAGAGAAGAGAAGTGAAAAGAGAAGGGAAGGGTAAATAGAAGAGTAATTAGAAGGGAGGCAGGGGATGGGAAGACAAGGGAATGAAGGGAAAGGAAGGGAGGGGAAGGGAAAGGAAGGGAGGGGAAGGGAAGAATGATTAAAAGAGATGAGTAATTAGAAGAGAAGGAGTGAAGAGTAATGAGAAGGGAGAAGAGAAGGGGGATGAGAAGGGAGGGGAATGAAGGGAAAGGAAGGGAGGGGAAGGGAAGAGAAGAGTGATTAAAAGAGAAGAATAATTAGAAGGGAAATAAGAAGAGAAGGAGGGAAGAGAAGGGAAGGGAATGGAGGGAAGGAAAGAGTAATTAGAAGGGAAATAGGATAAAATAAATAAGAGAAGGAGCGTGCAGACTCGCACACAGTGTTTGTTGTCACGCAGAAATGACATTAGTTGACGTTATCATTTCCTGTTTACAATGACAATAACAATTACAGCTGATTGCATCCAGTTGCCGCGCAGACACAGAGCACCAGATCCCGGCTTTCCGGCAGTTTATTAATATCTCCAGCTTCTGGTTCTGTGAAGTCCTGAAAACATAATAAAGACAATGACACTTCAGTGAGTGAATCACTGGGAGAGGATAAAACAATTGGCTTCTGATAAAACAAT